ATGAAATATTATTCACCCTTATAAAAGAAGGAAATCCTGCTATCTGTGACAACATGGATGAACCTGAGGGAGATGATGCTAAGTGAAAATAAGCCTGTTAGAAGAGGAAAAATATTGCATAATTCTACTTATATAAGGTATCTAAAATAGTCATTCACAGAAGCAGAGAATAAATAGTGGTTTCCAAGTAGCTGGGAGAAAGGAGGAAATGAAGAGTTGTTGTTCAACGGCTGTACAGTTTCAGTTATATAAGATGAATAAATGGCAGAGATCTGCCATACAACATAATGCCTATAGTTAACAATGCTGGACTGTGCACTTAGAAGTTTGTTCAGAGGGTAGATCTCATGTTAAGTGTTCTTACAACAACAAACACCTCATCAAAAAAGACCAAAAAGCAAAGAGATACAAGGAAACTTTTAGAGGTGATGACTATGTGTATCACCTTGATTTGTAGTGAGGGTTTCGCAGTATGTACATATGTCCAAACTCATTAGATTGAATACTTTAAATAGGTGCAGTTTACATGGATGAGCTTGGAGGACATTAGGTTAAGTTAAATAAGCCAGGCACAGAGTGATAAATCTGCAAGTTCTCAGCACATGTGGAATCTATAAAAGTTGGTATCATAGAAGTGAAGAGGAAGGGAAGGGGAATAGGGAGAGGGGTGACCAAAGGCTGATTAACAGATACAAAAGTACAGCTAAATAGAAGGCATAAATTCCAGTGCTCTGTAGCACTGGATGAGTGCTATTTAGGGTGAGAATTAATTGTATATTTTCAAATAGCTAGAGGAGTAGATTTTGAATGTTCCCAACACAAAGAAATGATAAATGTGTGAGGTGATGTATTTGCTAATGACCCTGATTTGATCATTGCGCATTATATACTTGTATCAAAATATCACATTGTACTCCATGAATACATACAATTATTACATGTCAATTTAAAATAATAATAAAAGCAAAAAATCATAAAAATATGTAGTTTTTATATATCAATTATACCTCAATAAAGTTGTGTTTAAAAAATCTAAAAACCAAGAATTTAGCACTATGTGAAAAGATTTATACACTTTGACCAAGTAGGCTTTCTTCCAGGAATGCAAGGCTGGTTCAACTTTCAAAAATCAATGCGATTCACCATATTAAAAGGCTAAAAAAAGAAAAAAAAATCATATGATTATATAAACTAATGTAAAACATTTGACAAAATTCAACACCCATTTATGACAAAATTCTCAGAAAAAACAGAAATAGAAGGCAAACTAGACACCTATAGCTAATCTATAATTAATCATGAAAGACTGAATGCTTTCTTCCTAATTTATATCAAAATATCAGTGAGAATTTTTGTATTAATAGATATAGAGGAGATGATTCTAATATTTAAACAGAAAGGCAAAGGAACTAGAAGAGCTAAAACAATATTGAATAGAAAGAATAAAGTGGGCGGAATCAGTCTATCTGATTTCAAGATTTATTATATAGCTTCAGTAATCAAGACTGTATGGTATTGGTGGAAAGACAGACACATAGATCAATGGAATGGAATAGAGAATCCAAAAATAGACCCACACAAATATGCCCAGCTGATTCTTGACAAAGGTGCAAGAGCAATTAAATGGCAGACAAATAGCCTTATTAACAAACGGTGCCAGAGCAATTGGACCTTCTTAGGCAAGAAATAAAGAAAAGGGAGAAGAAGGAGAAGAAGGAGAAGAAGGAGAAGAAGGAGAAGGAGAAGAAGGAGAAGGAGAAGGAGAAGAAGAAGCAGAAGCAGAAGCAGAAGCAGAAGCAGAAGAAGAAGAAGAAGAAGAAGAAGCTCAACCTAGACCTCACATCTTATACAAAAATTAACTTATGATGGATTACCAACAGAATGTGAAACAGAAAAAAAAATAGGAGAAAACCTTTGGAATTTAGGGCTAGCCAGAAAGTTCTTAGTCTTGACACCAACAGCGTGCTCCATAATAGAAAAAATAGTAAAATTAGACCTTATCAAAATTTAAAAATTTCTTTACAAAGTGCGTGTAAAGAGGATGAAAAGACTGGGGGAAAATATTTGCAAGCCACAGATCTGAAAAAGGACCAGGATCTCGACCAAGCTTGTCCAACTCATGGTGCACTGGCCACAAGCCTCCCAGGATGGTTTTGAATGAGGCCCAACACAAATTTGTAAACTTTCTTAAAACATCATGAGAATTGTTTTGTGATTTTTTAAGCTCATCAGCTATTGTTAGTGTTTTTTTATTTTATATTTTATATGTGGCCCAAGACAATTCTTCTTCCAATGTGGCCCAGAGAAGCCAAAAGACTGGACACCCCTTATCTAGACTATAGAGAACTCTGAAAACTCAACAACCAATAAAACAAAACAATCCAATTAGCAAATGGCCAAAAGACATAAACAGAGATTTCACCAAAGATAGCATATAGATGGAAATAAAGATGGCAAGTAAGCACAAGCACCTGAAAAGACGTCCGACATCAGTAGCCATTAGAGGAACGGAATTTGAAACCACAATGACACATCACTATACATGTATAAGAATGGGTTAAAATTTTAAAATATTGACAACACCAAATCCTGCCAAGGATGTGGAGAAACTGGATCATTCATACGTTCCTCGTTGGGATGTAAAATGGTACAACTACTCTGGAAAACAGGATGGCAGCCTCTTTAACAACTAAGCATGTGATTACTATATGATCTAGCGATAGTTGTCCTGGGCATTCACCCTACAAACTAGCAATAGTTCTCCCAGAGAGAACTATTTCATATCTCTCAGAGATATGAAAATGTATGCTCACTTGAAAACCTGTATACAAATGTTATGCCAACTTTATTTGGTGGTTGTTGTTGTTGTTGAGACAAAGTCTTGCTCTGTTCTCCCAAGCTGAAGTGCAGTGGTTCAATTGTAGCTTACTGCAGTCTCCAACTCCTGGGCTCAAGGGATCCTCCCCCTTTAGCCTCCTGTGTACCTGGGACTACAGGTGTGTGCAGCCACACCCAGCTAATTTTTAAAATTTTTATGTAGAGACAGGGTCTCACTATGTTGCCTAGCCAGTCTGGAACTACTGGGCTCAAGCGATCCTCCCACCTGAGCCAACTTAATTTGTGATACCCGCAAAACTGGAGGAAAACCCCCTAAATGTCCTTCATTAGGTGAATGGTTAAACAAGCTGGTAATACATTCATACAACGAAATACTACTAAGAAAAAGGAACAAAGTATTGCTACAGCAACCTGCAACTCGGGTTGCTGAGTGGGAAAAAATTCAAAAGGTTACATATTGATTCAAAAGGTTACAAATGATTTCATTTATATAACATTCTCGAAACCACAAAATTTTGGAAATGGGAAACAGGTAAGTGGTTTCAAGAGGTTAGAGATGGGGAGGGGTGCACGGGGAAGCAGGTGTGGCTACAAAAGGATAATATGAGGGATCTTGTGGTGGTGGAAACGTTCTGTATCTTGACTGTGTCAATGTCAATATCCTAATTATGATATTTCACTATAGTTTTTGCAAGACATTACCAATGAGGGAAACTGGGTAAAGGGTACTTGGAATCTCTCTGTATTATTTCTTAAAATTGCCTGCAAATCTACAATTATCTGAAAATGAAAATTCTTATTTAAAAAGTGACTCTTGATCAAAAGACACCATTAAATGAGTAGAAGATACTTGCAGTCTCTAACTGACCAAGGCATGCAGCAGCTAGAATTTATAAACAGCTTTTTATGAATCAATAAGAAAAAGCCATCTCAAAAAAGTGGGCAAACATTTGAACAGGCACTCAGAAAACAGAAAATTCATATAGCCTATAAACACATGTAGAAGTGCCCAATTTCACTGGTAATTAGGGATATGAAATGAAGATCACAATGAGACACCATTACATCTCCGCCACACTGACAAAAAATAAGAAGTCTAATAATATTACATTTTGGCAAGGATGCAGAGCAGTGGGAACTACCATACATCTCTGATGGGAGTGTAAATTTTGTGGCCACTTTGGAAAACAATTTGGCATGATCTAATAAAACTAAATATATGCATACCCTATAGTCCAGTAATTCCACTCCAAGGTATACATCCTAAAGATTACACTTGCATACCAGGAGATATATACAAAAATATTATTAGCAATAAAATTTGTAATAGCCCCAACTGGAAAAATCCAAATGTCTAAAAGTGCCAGAATGGACAAAGAAATTGTGATATGTCCATACAAGGGACTATTAAGTAGCAATGAAAATGAATGAACTACAACTACATGCCACAAAAGTAGATTACTCTTACAACCAAATAGAAGAAGAGGCCAGAAACACACAAAAATATGCATGCAATATTATTCAATTTATAGAAAGTTCAAAACCAAGCAAAACTAAACTGTAGTGGTTAGGGATACATTACAAATTGGTAGAAACTATAAGATATATAAGCAACTAATTACCATAAAGTCAGGATAGTTGCTTTAGAGGGAAGGGAAGGACTTGTGGAAGGGAATTGGTGGGGCAGGAGAACCTCCCCGGTGATAGCAACGACCTGGGTGGTGTTTGGTTTATGATTCATTAGGCTATGAAGGTATGTTTGTCTTCACTTTTCTGTGTTACAGATTATAGCAAAATCACACGCCCTCTTCATATTTCATTGTTTTGCCTTTGAGATGACACATGAATGTGGCATGAGCCTTAACTGTGTGAGAAAAGACGGCACATGAAAATCTGAGCTCAAAATGTAAAACCTGTGAGAAGAGTTAAGAGTACAAAGTGGAGTGTGCTGCAACAACAGTAGACTTGCTGGAATGATGAGGTGGTGGCTTGCCTTGGGATTTTTGTTTTTTAATAGTGCATTAGGAAAAATAAGGTTGCTCCAGGGGCTAAATTTCTTACTCTCCTTTAGAAGTTGGACCTAGGCTGACGGTCCCCAGTTTTTAAATGTTTTGGAGTTTTCTCTTTTTGTTTTTCAAATTGATTCCCTGATCAGCTTTGCCTTGAATTCCCCTGCCTAAGAAGAGAGGAGAACTGTTGATGTAGTGGGAACCCTCCCTCCTCGAACATTAACTGGGTTGACCCCACCCCTCTCTTCAGTCCAAATCAAGATCGGAAAGCAGGATCGGAAAGCAGGCTGTCTTCAGTCCAATCAAGATCGGAAAGCAGGATCAAGAGAAAGATGATCAGACCGGAACAGGTAAACGTTCCATACAGAGATGCTTCGGAAGTGCGGAGAAGTGAACAGTTTATCCCCTCTCAGGCCGTCATGTTGTCTCAGCAGACCCTCTGAATTACTGATGTCAGAACTTACTGACTGGGGTACAGCACACAAGCAATTGGTAGAGTTTTAAGACATTAAAAGACGGTGATTTCAGACAAGAAATCTAGCGCACCATTCAGGTTTCTCCTCGGGTCGAATTGCTTCTCTCCCTTCCTGCCTCTTCCTGCCAGACCTCACCGTCACAGCTCTAATCACACCCTGACTGATCTGATCCCGCCCTGCCGCGAGGCCCGGGTACCCCTCAGCGGCGGGGACATCCAGGTGTCCTTGGATTTCCAGGGCACAGTGCGGGCCGGAAACAGGAACACAGAGGAGCCCTTTGGGAGGCTCGAGGCAGTCTCTTTCCAGTGGATAGCGACACACCCTGGTCCCTAAGATTCTCCCGTTCTCCGAATTTTCCGTGCTGGACCCGATCTGTAGCGCGCAAAGTCCCCTGTACTGAGGCATTCCCAGAACGCCCGCCTCCCGAGTTTACATTTCTTAGGCAAAAGGGCGGCGGAGCTGAGGAGGGGTGTTTGGAAGGCGCCCGTTGCGCTGTTTCACTGCGTGGCTTCACTTGGCCCGCGTGCATCAGCCTCTCTGGCGGGGATTCTTCCCGGACTCCGGCCAGCGCCAATCAGGTCGCGCGGTACCTGCCCCCAGCCCTGGCCACCTGGAGGGGCGATGAGGCTCCACGCCCGGAGCAGGGCAGTCCTC